AACTACCTACAGCAATAAGAAAAGCCAATGTCAACATGGATGCATTCTTGCCAAACCAAATCAAAATGCTAATAATTGTTTGAGATCATTAACAAGGCCATGAATGGCATGGTACCAAACTTTGTTTAGTTTAATTAGACAACCACCTGATGTACAGCTAACCCTCATACATATGAAATGGATAATTAATAGATAAATAAATCATAGCATGATTAACTATGCATACTAATTACTATTGTGTAGCATTAAGTAAAAATACCATGACTTGACATACAAATGTAGAAAAAATGACAGCATTTACCATTAAATCTATAACAACTACCAATGTACAGGAGACATGCAATTTTGTACAACTGACTGGATGGCTTCTTGATGATGTATATTTTGGTGGCAATTTTATTAGTTGCAGCATCACAGGATTCAATCCTAGTTGCACTTATGCATACATGTCTTATTATTTCATCCTTTTGTTTCATTCCTGTAAACATTAATCACTAGCTTTCATTGTTTTGCAACTGCATATTACTGGCTTTTCTATTTACCAACATCAACCTACAAAAGTACACTTCCTCAGATGATACAGCAACAGGATGAAATCTGTTGAGTAAGGAGGGAAGGCAATTTGTGTTAGCCTTTTCAGCTCAAGTAATACACAACAATAGTTCAATATACACGAGGGGCTTCTGAACAGCTTGCAGCATTCATCTGTTCTTGCAATCAGGCGATGCAAATGACAACCTCACAAATCAAGCCTGTAAATAACAGCCACACAATTCTAGAAGCTTATGTGTTATGTTAAGGCGCAGAACTGCTACATTCCACCTGAATATAGCGATATTTACCTCGCTAGGACCCATGGTCGCTTTGGATGAAACGACAGGCCCTTAACCCTCGCAGACTTTGTCTCAAACTTGGTCAACATCTTCAGCAGCACATTCAACGCGTTCTAGCAGTGAACACAATCTAGAAGTGCGACTTAGGGTACAAACTGATGGTTTGTAGCCACGGCTCAAGAAATGCGGGCACAGCCCCGGTAATGCGGGAGCGGGACCCAAGCCGGCCAGTGTTGCTCGGTAAGACACGATGCGGCGGACACGTCAGCAGGGAAACTCAAACAGCCGCACTTATGCGTTGGTTTTGTATTAAATCTAGTGATGGTAAGCAAGCTTTGAACATATTGGCCAAAATGGCGTTTATTGAGTCCCTAATCACGTGAATGGAAAGACTGCCGGTAAAATTATCGTTTTGAACAGCGATTTTCAGGGCAAACGTTCCGATCTCGATAAAAGTGCGTCTGATGTTCAACAATGGCACGAGAACACTGAATCTGCATGAGATCTTCAAGGTCAAATGACGGGAACTCCACATCATCCATACAATCCCGTTGTACATGTGGATAGCCGCGTCCCGGATATCTAGCATCCAGACTGTGAAAGTCATGAGACGATTGCCGCCGTGAGAGCTACCGAGACTGCTCCTGCGTCCGTTGCCGCTCTAATGGGTGTAACGATGGGGGGAAGGGTCTGGAACTTGGAATGGATATTTCCCTTAGAATTTATCACACGGGTTTTATCACTCAATTTCGCCTCGGAGACTGCACGTTTTTCATGTCTCTCCATTCAAAATGCCGTTTCCAGCTCGCTGTCCGCCAAATTCCGATTTGACCCCCACGATCCTGATTTTTCTAGCCCCACTTCACAGCCGTGGTTAACCCTATGGCTGTTCTCATGCGAGGTAGCAGTGCAGTTCCCGACATTGTTTAACGTGAACATAAACAATGCCTTGGCAAATGCAAAAGGCGCAACAAATATGACCGCTTTTTATCTAGTGACCCAGTGTGGTAGCCTCTGCTCCATATCGTCTGGTAGCAGTACGACCAAAGCACCGCAACTCGGGGGACAAGAACACGCGCCTCAAAAACCGAGAGCGCGTGCCACATCGTCCCGCCTTTGCCCTTTGACGATGATGTTTGGATTTGTCGGGCATGTCGACTAAAGCTTTCCTTTTACGCCCACTAGTATATCAAATCTGTCCCGTATTCGGTACGCACCAGTGTTACACACTAAGCGCGCTGATTCACCCGCCGGAGTTGGGTGCGTGACAGCCCGCGTCGTGCAATGACCAAATGGTTGGGTAGATTATTTTAAATAATAGGTGCTTCATGAAATTTAGTCACCTTGCCATCGCGGATCGGACTTATCGCCACTGAAGGCGCATAGAGACAGTGTCCACAGGCCACCGCAGCCACAGTAGCGCCTTCAGCCTCCAGGCGGCGACACTGGGCGTGGGTAACCGGCAGTCGGCGACCGTAGCGAGGGCTTGTTGGTGGTTGACCTAAATAGAAGATAAGTGGGTTTCGTAAGTTCGCGACAAAAAGGTATAAAGCGACAGAGGCTGCTGCTCACAGGCGAAGAAACACCTCAGGAAGTGAGGGTGCCACAACAGACTTTGGGGCCGATTCTTGCTATGCGTCGTCATCACATGGCGACGTCAGGTGAAATGCTCATCATCTTCAGACAGTCTGGGGTGATATGGTCCCAAGGCCCCCGCTCCTATGTCTTTGGTAATGCTTACCAGATTGAGGATAAGTTGCCCATCAGGAATGTAGCGGTAGCCATGACACGGCTATGAGGACCATTGAGACCAAACTACATCCAAGATAACTGTATTAATGTTTATCTCGTAAAGCATAAACTGAGTACAGGTTGGAATGGCGTTTTTCATCCCGCATATACTTTGGAGCGTTGCCGTCAGTGGGCCGAACGGTAAATGGCAGTTAAGGTAGCATATTATCTGCATAAGCAAAATGAGCCCGTTCTCCATACATATAGCCGAAGAGAAACCCGTCAGCGAACAAGTACCCCATTTCACGCACGCTAAACGTATTTGGTCGCAACCAGTTATACTTAAGGGCATCCCAACAGCGCGGTTTACATTACCCAACACACGGCGTTCCGCGAGGAAGCCTTTCAGCCGCTGCCACCAGGGGGCGTATTTACAGCATATCTGATTGTTCGATTTTCACCCACACCATAACGCAAACTGCCGAATCAGGCGAAATGGCCATCATTTTCCCAGTACCGCCCACCTACAGATGCGGCACCTTCACACTACATAAGTAACATGTCACACGCACACGCAGCTGTACAGAAGTTCCACCACTATGAACACGCGCCGATCTTATAGTAAACCACAGCGTTTGACAAGGCCAGAGCAGCGGCGGGCGCTCCGCAGGCCCGCGTCGTGTACGGAGACCGTGCCTTTGCACGGCGGACAATCGGCTTCCCACGCCCTCCAAACAACACACATCGTAAGTCACTAGAGACGCAAACATCACAAGGCGACACTTCATCAAATGTCTTTGGACGATGAGCTGACCAGGTCGGAAGTGTTTGGACTGAGCGACATCTGAAAACAGCCGCCACATACGTCAGTGTTTGAGAATCACAGCGGGCAAAATAAGTGCATTTTGCATGGCTGAAAAACACAATTACACGCGCATTACAAAACTGATTATCATTTATGGAAATGAGATCCAAATGGGGAAGAGGTAACAACGCACGCTGCAACCATCTGAAGTATTGGATCATTTGATGTTATAAATATTATAGAATGTATGCGAATGGCCATCAAGCGTTCACCATGCTGAGTGGATGGCAGAACAAAAGGGTCACGAATCAACGCTGCATACGTATATTCCACGAACTATTAAAAAAACAAATACGCATTCAAGAACAATTATGAGCTTCTGGCAGTGAATGTACATCAGTAACTTCAAAGGCCGGAAGAGACATGCAGTGCAAGAGACACGTATACATAAATGCACACATCGGTGGAGTATGCTTCGTCGCAAGTCACTGTAATGGAACTACAAAGCAACAAGGACCATCCAGCCACACCCAGCTCCAGTGCACGGTACCTATTCTGTCAGCATAATAGCTGGCTGCGGCAAAGCAGCTCAAGATTAACGTCAGCCTTGGTTACCACGCCTCATGCGATTCTGGTGGTCATTGTGAGACACTGCAAAGCAGACCTTCAATATGTGGGGCTGCAAATCAGTGGGCACAAAATGCGGTCGATAATAATGCCCTCAGTCGGAGAGAATGACGCATCCAGCAGTGTTCCACAAGCGCAACTGTGCTTGCAAGTTAACGACAATCCTTGAAAAAAGATGGGGACAATTTTGCATTCGGTTCGCTTGAAAGTGTGATCATGTATTATGAGTTGACATTCAATCCTGTGTTATATAAACGTGATCGCTCGCTGGCCTGCGACTGGATCGCGCAGTTTCCCCACGCGCTCGCACAGGCGTTCGTCTCGCGCTGCGACCAAACGCAAGAGATCGATACCAGTAGAAAGCGGAACAAGTATTAGCCCCGAGTACTCCTCCGCACCTCCAGTGAAGCGCACCGCTACCGGCCGCCTGTTCCCGTGCCTCCCCGCCCCCCCCCCCCCCCCCCGCCGTGGACGGGTCGTAACCGAGCCGGCCGCCGCTCACCTGGGGTCGGCCGTGTTGCGCGCCTTCCGGCAACTGCAGCGACCTCTGTAACCGGCGGCGCTCGGCCACCTCGTCCTGCAGCTGGATGTCCAGCAGGTAGTTGAGCTGCTTAAGCTCCGCCAACCTGCAGAAGGAGGGCGACGGGTGAGCTCAAAGACAACGCGGCCGTCACACATGGGCCCGACCCCACGGAGGATTCACGAAACCCCTGTCTGAAACATCGAATTTTAAGTGAGAAACGCGCTTCAGTGTATCAGAAGCCATTGCCTGGCTTCGGTCCTTGAAGATGTCACAGCCAGGACAAATGAATGCAGCCGCTAAAACACAACTAGAAGCGCGAGCTACCACTTCCGTCAGGTCCATGTACGGTCAAGTTCGGCGCGAAGCTGACACGAATCACCGCCAGCTTCTGATCTCCCTGGAAACCCCGATCTCCCAAAATCTCTTGACTATAACCTATCGTGTCTGGGCCAGACTCGCCGGCGCGCCGGCGCGCCCAGACTCACTTGACTTTGAGCTGGAGCACGTCAGCCGCCTCGTCTGCCGGTCGGGGCACATCGGCCTGGTGCGCCTGATTGGACCGCAGCGCCGACGAGAGGCGCAGCTGCAGCAGGTCCCGCTCCTCCAGCAGCTGCCGGACGGACGGACCAGTCACGGCCAGACCCGCGGCACCGACACAGCGTGAACCGCGGCAGTCATGCTCTCCTGTTGCAGCACATCTGGATCAGCATGCCTACACTGTCGCGCAGCCACAAATAACACAGCTGCCATAAATCGACGTGTGTTTCGGCTTTCCCATCGCAACTGGCGAGGGATTACAACGCTGTTCACCACGGTGGTTTCATACGTCGCAAACGTTGCCATTAACCGATAACTGTTATGGCTTTGGTCACAACAAAAAGTCCCGCCCGGCGCTCTTCGGTGTGATACTGTGAACCGCCACTGAGGCCTTCCCACGCCCGGTGACAAGGTGACATCGGATCACTCATCACACATCCCACTCATCACTCATCACACACTACACACCACTCGGGCATCTATTCTATACTTTTCGGGCTATATCCATTTTGCGTCTCGACATTACCGAAATCACCCGCCCGGGAACTTAAGAGCGTCACGGCGTCGAGCCCGCTCCAGCCCGACTAGGCCTCAGTGCTCACCTGGGCCACCTCAGAGGTGAGCTCGCGACACCGGGCGTCGCGGCCCTGCAGCGCCTCGCCCAGCTGGCGCAGGTGCTCGTTCAGCCCGTCCACCACGTCACCGTCCTCGCCTTCCTCGGCCAGCGTGCGCCACTGGGCCGCCTCGGCCAGCAGCGCGGCGTTGGTGGCGCGCAGGCTCGAGATCTCGTCGGCCATCGAGTGGATGATCACCTCGCGCGAGCGCAGCACCAGCCCCGACTCGTCGGCCTCGGCCTGAGCGGCGGCCAGGTCAGTGTCGGCCGACGCCGCCTGGTCGGCCTCCGCAGGAGGAGTCGGGTGGTCGGCAGGCGCGCCGCCGGTCAGATCTGGCGGCGCGGGGGCGGCCGTGGCGGCCGGGGTGGCCCCCGCCAGCGGCGGTCGCGAGTACAGCGGATGGGCGGGCATGGCCGGATCCGCGCCAGTCAGTGACGACTGGTAGACGTCGGTGGGAGCGCTGCTCAGGGCAGCGGCGAAGGATGTCACCACCGGCGGCGGAGCGGGCACGGTCGGGTCCGCGCCGGTCAGAGGCGGGGACTGCAACGACGTGGTCGCGTTCGCATGGAACAGGTGAGCGGTCGCCGAGGCGTCGCCGCCTCCCTCCGCCAGCCACTGGGATTCGTAAGCCGCCAGTCGGTTCGATAGGGCGGCGTTCTCGCTGGCTGCCGCGTCCAGCGCCACCTGCAGCTGCTCCACCGACCGCTGCAGCTGGGCATCGGGAGCGGCAGCTGCCGTCTCGTACAGCTCCAGCAGCTCCTCGTTACGCAGCTCCAGCTCTTCCAGCCGCCGCTCCAGCACCGCCTTCTCCTCCACGAGCCGAGCTAATTCCGACCGCGCGGCCGAATCCGCCTCTGCCGTCACCTCTGATTGCGCCGCGCCGGCGGGGTCTGACGTCACACCAGCGGCGTCTGACATCACACCAGCGGCGTCTGGCGTCACACTGGCGGCAGCGCGGCTCTCCGCGGCCTCCTCCAGCTCGGCCAGCCGCCACTCCATGTCGGTTATCTGGCCGCGTAGCCGGTCGTTCTCCACACGCAGCGCGTGGGCCTCCGTCTCCAGTCGCTCCTTGGCGTCCACCAGCCTGGCCTGCGCATCCTGGTAGGTATCAACCTGCTCGGCCAGGCGCGTCTTCTCCTGCTGCAGCTCGCGACCCAGTCGCTCGGCCTCATCGGCACGGCGGCGCGCCTCGGTCGCCTGCGCCTGCAGCTCCTCCAGCAGGGCGGCATCCAGGCCGTCGGCGCCTGGCGCCGGGGCGCGCGCGCCCTTCTGCGCCGTCTTCAGCTTCTGCAGGAGCCGGCCGTTCTTAACCTTGGCCTGCTGCAGCTCCTCCCGGGAGCCGGCCAGCGTGGTCTCCAGCTCGGTCACCTTCTGCCGGTAGAAGGCGGCCTGGTCGCCGAGCGCCGAGTCGGCGACCGGCGTGCTGCGCGCCGCCGACAGCTGCGCCTGCGTATCGGTCAGCAGGTCGCGCAGCAGCTGCACCTCGCCCTCCAGGCGCGCCACGTCGGCACGCTCCGATTCAAGCTCGCCGCTCAGCTGCGACACCGTAGCCAGCTCCTCGGCCAGCTGAGCGGACAGCTGTGCCGCGTCGTCGGCGACCGGTGCGGCGCGCGCCGCCCGCTCGGCCTCCAGCTGGGTCGACGGTTGCGCCAGCTGGTCCCGCAGAACAGCCATCTCCCCCTGCAGGGCAAGGATCTCTTCCCGCAGGCGTCGCGCCTCTTCGCGCTCCGCGTCGAGCTCGGCGGTGACGAGCGCCAGCCGCTCGACGCCGGCGGCGGCGGCGGCCGCATGCTCCCGCAGCTCGGTCGCCTCCACCTGCAGGCGACTCAGCTTCTCCCGCTCCGTCTGCAGCTCGCGAACCACGTCCGCCAGCTTGTCCGTGTCGACGGCGGCCGTCTGGGCCCAGAGCGCGGTCGCCTCCTGCTCGAGCCGCGCCACCTTCTCACGTTCAGCCCGCAGCTCGGCCGTCACCCGCTCCAGCTCGGCCGGCTCGGCCGGCGGCGGCGCGCGCGGCTCGGCCGGCGCCGGCGACACCGCCTCCAGCGACGGCGTGAACTCCTCCCAGCCCCACTCGGCGCGCAGCGGAGCGGCACCGGCCTCCTCCAGGAACGGGCTGGACGTGAGCGCCACCAGCGGGTCGGGCGCCGCCTGGCCGGCCGCCGCCGCCCGCTCCAGCTCGGCGACGCGGCCGCGCAGCGCCTCGTTCTCCGAGCGGAGCGCCGAGAGGCTCGCCTGCTCTCCAGCGTCTGAGCTGACGCCGCCGCCGCCGCCGAAAAACGACAACACGGACGGGATGACGCTCTGCGCCGCCGAGACCACCGTCTCGGTCACGGCGGCGGCGTCGGCCGGCACCGGGGTCTCGTCTGCCGGGGCCGGCGACGACAGCAGCGACACCGTGGAGAGCTCGGCGCTGGTCGGCGGCGCAGACGGCTCCGGCGGAGCTTCATCCTCGGCGCTGATGGGGTAGTGGAGCATTACGGAGGCGTCTGTCACCCAGCCCTGCTGCTCCGCCTGGCTCGGGTCGTGGTACTGTTCGACCTCCGCCTGGGCGGCCACCTGACCCTGCTCCGGCTGCTGCTGGCCCTGGCTGTAGTACGCCGCGTAGTACTGGTAGTAGTCGATGTACTGCTGCAGCTGGGCCTTCGTCGACTCCAGCTCGGCCTCGGCGGCCGTCTTCTCAGCCTGCAGCGCCGCACGCGCCTCCTCCGCCTCCGTCAGCTGTCGCTGGAGATCGTCAGTAGACGCCTCGCCCGCCTGCTGCGGGGCGGCCTCTGGTCCCGCCCCGGCCGCCTGCAGCGCCGCCTTCTCCGCCGCCGCCGCCTCGAGCAGCGCCCCCAGCCGGGTCACCTCATGCTCCAGTCCAGCGGCGCGCTGCGCGGCGTCTGCGGCGGCTTCGGAGGCGCGGCACTGCTGCAGCCGATCGACCTCCTCCCGCAGCCGCGCCGCCTCCTCCTGGGCCTGGTGCAGCTGCTCCTGCAGACGGCGGCCGGCTGCCACCTCGGCCGCCGCCTCGGTGCGCAGCCGCACATTCTCCTCCTCCAGCTGCTGCGCGGCGCGCGCGGTAGCCGTCAGCTCCTCCAACTGGGAGTGGAGCTGCGCGTTGTCCGCCTCCACCAGGTCGCTGCGCTCGCCTTGACCGGCCACCGTATCCAGCTGCGCGCGCAGCAGCGCGATCTCCGATTCGGAACTCTTCAGCTGCTCCTCGGTGGCGGCGAGCGCCAGTAGCCGCGCGTTGCGCTCCTCGAGCTCGGTCTCCAGACGTAGCCGTCGCTCCTCGTCGGCCGTCCGCTGCTCCTTCAGCTGGCTGACCTCCGCCTCCAGCTGCTGGGAGCGCTCGCCGCCCGGCGTCAGTTCGATGATCCGGGCGCGCAGCTGCTCGTTCTCGGCGCGCAGCAGACTCAGCTGTTCGGCGATGTCTTCGGCGAGGTTCGGCGTCTTCTCGACGGCCGGCGGCGGCGGCGGCTGTGGCGGGGTGTTCGGGATGATGCCGAAGCTGTCCAGGAACCCGGCGGACGACGCCATGGGCTGCGAGCCGCCGAAGAGCGACGATGCGAACGGAAGAGCGGAGGCAGGCGGCGCTGCCGGCGGCGCCTCGGCAAACACGTGCGACACAGCCTGCACGACGGGCTCGTCGACGGCGGGTGCCACTGGGAGTGGCGCCGCCAGCCGCGCCGTCAGGTCCGCCACCGACCGTTCCAGCCGCTCCTTGTCGGCGCCGAGGCTCGCCAGCCGCTCCTGCCGCGCCGCCAACTCCAGCTCGGCGGCGGTTAGCTGCTCCTGCAGTTGCTGCCGCTGGCGCTCGGTCTCCTCTCGCTGCGTCGCCAGCGGCTCCAGGTCGGCCACGCGCAGCTCTAGCTGCTCTATACGCGTCTCCGACCCGAGCGCCTGTATGTTGAGGCGGTGGCTCGCGTCAGATTCGGCCTGCTCCAGGCCGTGGTGCGCCGTCTCCAGCTGGCGGCGCGCGTCCTCCAGCTCTCTCTCCACCAGCTCCCGCTCCACCACGGCAGCCCGCAGCTGCTCAACGGCCGGCTCCAATTCCCGCACGCGCAGGCGCAGTTCGTCCCGCTCCTGCAGCGCTAACTTCAGCTGCAGCTGCTGGTCGGCGGTCGGCTCCAGCGCCTGCAGTCTCTCTTGAAGTTCCTGGCGCTCCTGGAGCGCGGTTTGCAGCTGGTCAGCGGCCGGCTCCAGGCCCTGGAGCCGTTCCTGTAGCTCCTGCCGCTCCTGGAGCGCAGCATGCAGCTGCTGGTTGGCGGCCGGCTCCAGCGCCTGCAGCTTCTCTTGCAGTTCCTGGCGCTCCTGGAGCGCGGCTTGCAGCTGGTCGGCGGCCGGCTCCAGGCCCTGGAGCCGTTCTTGCAGCTGCTGCCGCTCCTGGAGCGCGGCTTGCAGCTGCTGCTGCAGCGCCTGCTGTTCGCGGCCGGCCGTCTCCAGCCGGTCCCTGAGCTCGTCCCTCTCGTGGCACGTGCTGGCCAGCTGCTGGCGGGCCAGCTCGGCGCCGGAGTCGGCCGGCAGACCCTCCGGTTCGGTGCGCTCGCCCGGCCCTGCCGCCGGCGGCGTCCACAGCGCCGCGAACGGGTCGGCCGGACCAGCGGCCACCTCCGGCGCGCCGAACATGGAGAATACAGGCACGCCCGACGGCGGCCCGCCGCCTGCCGGCGCCGCCTGGGATCTGGCCGTGGTCGGGAAGCAGCTGCTGGCCGTGTCCGCCGCCGCCAGGGTGGGCTCCCGCCGGCTGCTGCTGAAGGTCGAAGTGCTGTGTGGCGTGCTGCTGGTGCTGGCTGTAGGAAAAATCGGTCTGCTGCTGGTCACGGCTGAAGTAGTCGCCCGTGGTCTGGAGGTTCTCCGCCACAGCCGCTTCGTACTTGTACTCCTCAACACTCGGCTGACCGTGGCCGAAGTGCGACCCGGTCTGCTGTTCGCCCTGGCCAATGCGCTGCTGATCCTCACCGAAGTGCGATTCCGTCGGCTGCAGGCCATCACCAAAGTAGTTTCCTGCGTACTGCTGAGGCCCAAGATCTTGGACCGGTCCCGTACGCTGCTGACCATTACCAAAGCACGACCCTGTGGGCTGCTGGTCGTCGCCAGCCGCATACGATCCGATCGTTTGCTGGCTCTGGCCGTAGTGCTCTTGCTGACCAAAGCCAGCATCTGCTCCAATCTGCCCCTGGTCAAAGAATGCGCCCGTCGTCTGCTGCTCCTGGCCGAAGTAGCCCGCGAACTGGGGCTGCGACTGATCGTAATAGACGGTGCCTTCCGCCCGCGGGGGCGCCGCCGGCCGGTCCTGCTGCCGCTGCTGCTGCTGCTGCTGCTGCTGCTGCTGCTGATCCGACGACATCGGCTGCTGTCCACTGCAGGCCGGGCCCTGCTCGGCGCTCGGGGCCTCGGCCGGCGGCTCGCCCACACCGGCCGCCTTCAGAGCGTCGACCTCTCGCTCCAGCCGCTCCACGGCCGCCGCAGACGCCCGCAGCTGCGCCAGCGTCTTTTCCACCAGCGTCACGGCCGCGGTGCGCGCCGCCTCCGCGTGCAGCGCGCGCGCCTCGAGTCGCTCCTGCTGCTGCTGCGTTTCCAGTTTGAAAGCGTGCAGAGCGTCGGTCTCGGCGCCGAGCCTGCGGAGCTCCTGTTCCTGAGCTCCTGCTCGGAGCTTCTGTTCCTGCTCGAGGCGGCACGCGGCGTCCGCGCGCTGGGCCTCGGTCGCGTCCAGCTTGGCCTGCAGCTCCATCAGGTCCGTCATGCTGCCGGCCAGGTCGGCCTTCAGCGACGAGTTCTCGAAGTTGAGCACGGACCACTGGTGACTGGCGTCGACGCGCTGCTCCTCCAGCCGGCGCTCGGCCGCCTCGCGCTCCGCCTCGGCGGCCGCCAGCTGGCGTCGCAGCCGCGCGCCCTCCTCCAAAGCCGCCTGTAACTCGGCTTCCACCGCCGCCGACTCGTCCCTTGCCTCCGGAAGCGGCTCTGCGCCCTCTGCCGGCCGGGCTACTCCCCCGCTTGCCTCTGCGACGGCCTCGGCCTCGCGCGCCCTCTCCGGCGAGCGCTGTCGCTCCGAGTGTAACCCGGAGGTCACCTCCTCCAGAAGCGCTGCCTCCTCCGCGGCGAGCTGCTCGGTGCTGCCAACTCCCTCCAGCTGCCGCAGGAGCCGCGCGCGCTCCTCGGACAGAGCGCTCACCTCCATCTGAGTGGCGAGCCACAGCTCGCGCACGGCGCTGAGCTCAGCGGCCAGCTCGGCGGCCGAGGCGGCCGGCGCCGGCGCGTCCTCGCAGCCCAGCACCTGCTCAGTAACCATCTCGGTGTTGCCGAGCTGGAGTGCCTCGGACGGCGGCTGGTCGTCACGCGGCCAGCCAGCGTCCTCATCCCAGCCCCACTGTCCGGACGGCATGCCGGCTGGTGCTCCCTCGTCCTCCTCCTCACCGGTCGACCAGCCCCAGCCGTCGCCAGCCGGAGTCGTCAGCGAGGCGTCACCTGCCGGGGGCTCCTCGGCGCCGTCCGGCCGCGGGGTCGCTGCCTGCGCCTCCAGCTGCGCCTCGGCGCCGGGCACGTCGGTGGCCGGCGGGGCGGACGGCGCGGCGTCGTCGGCCGGCGCCTCCATCACCCAGTCGTTCCAGGAGGCGCTCGCCTCCGCATCGCCCCACTGCCACGGGATGGTGGCCGCTACCACCGTCACGGCCTCGGACGCCTCGGACGGCGGACTGGCGTCCTTGGCGGCGGCGGCGGCCGCAGCGGCGTCCCTAGCGGCGGCGGCCGGCGGCGAGGCAGCGCCCGACGACGGCCGCTCGTCCACCATGGACCAGTTGTCTTCGGACGAGTCTCGCGGCTGACCCTCCGAGCCACTGGACGGCAAGCTCACCAGGTCCAGACCGCGTGGCACGCTGAACAACGCACCCGCCTCGGCCGCCGGCAGCGTGCGCAGCTGCTGCATCAGCGCGCGCACGTCCGACACGAGCGCAGCGTCGCCGCCGCGGCCGGTGGCCGGCACCGGCTCCAGCACCGACTCGACCGGATGGCCGCCGGCCGGGAACTCGGTGAGTGCCGAGAGCAGGTCGGAAGCGGTCTGCTGCGCCTGCAGGCTGGCCAGCTCGGCGTCGCGACTCTCCAGCTGGGCGGATAGCGTGGCCACGCGCGCCTCCAGCGCCTCGCAGCGCTCCCGGGCGTCGTCGAAGGCCGCCTCTTTGGCGGTGAGCTCCTCCAGCAGGTACACGATCTTATCGTCCTTGTGAGCGCTTTCACGGACCGTCTCCTGCAGAGTGGCGATCTTAGCATCCTTCTCTGCCGCCTCCGCCTCCCACTTCTCCTGGTTCGACTCAATGGCGGCCAGCTTATCCTGCAGGGCAGCAACCTCATCGCACTTCTGCACCACTGCCGCCCCCAGTGTTTTTGCCTCAGCCACACTTAACCTCGTTTCTTCCAAGGCGGTGATTTTGGCGTCTTTCTCGGCCAACTGCGCCTCCCAATGTTCTCGACTGACACCTGTACTAGTCAGTTCCACCAGATCCGCAATTTTGCCGTCCTTCTCGGTCATCGCCGCGTCCCAAGCCTCCCTCTCGGTCCTCAACGCTTCGACCTCGGCCACGGTCTCCTCCAGACGCGCCCTCAGCGCCTGCGCCGCCTCCTCCAGGGTGCGCACCTTGGCCACCGCCTCGTCGCGCATCTCCGTGCGGCGGCGGACGGCAGCAGTCAGCTGGCGCAGTCGCGCCTGCTGTTTCAGCAGCAGCGCGTCTTTCTCGGGCTCGGCGCCGGCCGGCTCGCTGCGCGCCGACTCGGAGCGTTCGCTGAGCAGCGAGCTCTGCGAGCTGCTGCGGTCGGTGGCGCGCAGCAGAGGCAGCTCGAACAGGTCAGCGGCGCGAGGCCGCCGCTCCAGCGCCGCCTGGCACAGCAGGCGCGTGAACTGCGCCAGCACGACACAGCGCTCAGGCAGCGACAGCGGCGCTTCACCGCCGGCTGCGCCCTGTACCTCCGCCTGCAGGCGCTCCACGGCCGCTGTCAGTGCGGCACCGTCGCCGTCCCGCTGCTGCAGCTCTTGCAGGCCAGCCAGCTGGTCCAGCAGCTCCTGGCAACGCGCCGAGCGGGGCGCCGACGGCTCGGCGCCGCCCTGCAGCTGCTCCGACAGCGCCTCCTTCTCGCGGACGATCTGGGCAAACTCGTTCTCGGCGACGCTGAGCTTGTTTCGCAGCTCACGCAGCTCTGTCTCCGTGGCCATGACGAGCTCGTGCGTCCGGCTGGTTTCTTCAGCCATGTTGCTCCTCACGTCGTGCAGCTCTGACCGCGTCTCATCAAGGGACTGCTTGACGTCCGATAGCTCCTTTTGGAGCTCCGCCTTGAGCTGCAGCTCTTTGCGCAGCTTCACCTTCATCAGCTTCATCTTCTGCTTGGTCTCGGACGCGGTGCCCGCCGCCTGTGACTCAGCCTCGGCTTCCTGCACCGGCATCGGCTGTTGCGCGCTCTCCGTCTTCTCTCCTCCAGCGACCACCTCCACTGAGGCCGGCGGCTCGCTCCGAGCCTGCATCGATTCCAGCGCACTCCGCGTCTCCGTGAGCTGACCGTCGGCTGCCTGTCTGGACTCCTTCTCCTGCGACAGCTGCGCGCGCACCTGCTCCAGCTCGGCCTGCAGGGCGGCCAGGTCCTCCGCCGTCGGCGCGTCTCTGATGGCAGACGAGACGCCCTCCAACTCCGCGATGTTCGTCCTGAGCTCATCCACCTTCTGCTTCAGGATGCCCACCTTCTCCTCAAGCGAGGACTTGGCCTTCAACTCCTGCTTCAGCTTCGTCTTCAGCTTCTTGACCATTTTCTTGAGGTCGCCCTGCGGCTCCGCGGCCGCCTCAGCCGCTTCCCCACGCTCCAGCTCGGCGTTGCGAGCTTCATACTCGTTCCGCATAGCTTCCCTCTCGCTCTTCTCGTTGTCCAGCTGTTCCTGCAGCTGCTTGCTGCTGAACTGAAGCTCTGAAATGAAGCCTTCAGATGCCTTAAGCTCCGTCTCCAGGCCGCTGACGAGCTGCTGCAGCCGTGCCGCCTCCTGCCGGAGAGCCTCGCGGTCCATCTGGCTCTCCTCCAGCATGCGTCGCGAGGTGTCCAGGTCTGTCATCAACACCTCCAGCCGGGCCTCTAGCTGCTTCACGGCCGGCGTCTCGGGCTGAGCGCCTTCCACCGTCGCCGCATGACAGTCAGCCTCACTGACCGCTTCAGCTGTCAGCTGGCTCTCAGGCTGGCCGCCCACCTCAGCCTGACTGCCCATTTCAGCTGTAACTTGCTTTTCAGCCTGGCTCCCCGTTTCTGCCGTCCCCAGTTTATCGGCCTGACTCGCTGCCTCGGCCGTGACTTGCTTTTCAGCCTGGCTCGCCATTTCCGCCGTCGACTGTCTGCGAGCCTGGCTCCCCACCTCCGCCGTGATTTGTCTATCGGCCTGACTTCCCATCTCGGCTGTCAGCGCCTGCCCGGCCGCCTCGCCGAGCACACGGAGACGCTCCTCCAGATCCGCCGTCACCTGGAGGTGACGAGCTTCGGCCTCCTCCAGCCGACGGGCGTCACCTGGGACGTCTCGGTCGGCCCGCACCCTCTCCAGCTCAGCCCTCGCCTCCTCCAGACCGGCTCTGGCTTCCCGCAGCTCGGCCGTCGTGGCCTCGCTGCCGTCACGCTCCTCCCGCAGGCTCGCGGTCGCCTCCACCAGCCTGGCGTTGGTTTCGGACAGACTGGTGGCGGTCTGCTCTAGGCTCGCCCTGGTCTCCTCCAGTTCGGCCCGTGTTTCAGCCAAGCTGGTGCCGGCCTGGTCGAGGCCGACTCGCGCCTCCTCCAGGGACGAGGTTAGGGCGGTCACCTGCAGCTCCAGGTTGGTCTTCTCTGACGTTAGCTTGGAGACCTGGGTGTCCTTCTCGTCAGTAGCTGACACGAGCTCGGCGATCTGCCAGCACGAGGGCGGCCATCAGCTGCACTGATGCAAGTTGGGTGTCATTGGGGCTTTGCGACGCATTCAGCTGCTGAGGCTTTGTGGCGTCGCCTGTCTCTCACCCAGGCGGGAAGGGCGGGTACCGCGGGGAATCGAACTCCGCACCTCTGGTTTCCCAGACACGCAGCTTGACATCTACACAAACAGCACACCCAGCTTCCCTGAGGCCTTCCCCCACAAACACGAACACTGGGGAGGCACAGCCATGGTGCCACACAACCGCAACGAGAACAGTATTCTGATAAGCCAACGTGGCATACAGTCGTGATGTTAGTGGCCTGGTAACTATCGCAAGCGAACCAAACCAGTCCCCTGGACAGCATAGCAGACAGACAGCACATATGGGTGTAAATCTAAAATGGTAGCCCGTAATCCAGAATTCGGACTAAGACTTGACAGGCTTCATGGGATTACGAGCCCACCTTGGCATTTAGGTACTTGCATGGCAGCCAGCGGACAAGGGCCCGTCGTATCACCAACAGCGAGTATACTATGCCTAACATTGGGTATTACTAACGGTGTATTTTCCGTTCTGATTATCATATTTTAATACACCTGGACGACGCACATTACACACATAGACCGTTCTTGTATAAAAGCAAGTTGGCGTTAGCCACAGGCCCACTCGCAAGACTACTCAAAGGACCAAACTAGAGGAAGCAAAACGTCAATGCCAGCATCTTCCCCACCTGGCCCAGCGGTGCCCCCCGACCGTCACCTCACCTTAGCCTCCAGCTCCGCCGTCAGCCGGTCCTTGTCCTCGATCCGCTGGCTGAGTGCGGCGGCCTCGGCCACCAGCGCCAGTTTGGCGTGCGTGGCGTCCGCCTCGGCCTGCTCCAGGGCGGCCGCCCGCTCGGCCAGCGCCGTCAGCTCCGCCAGACGGTCGGCCGACTCTGCCGCGCCGCACACCGCCCCCGTCAGCCCCGCCACGTCACGACATTGCCACGCGCGTTACACGCCACAACACGCACATGCCGACCACCGCGACCACACGACGTATCGTTCATGGCCCGAACAGGCTGTGACGACGCCATGACGCCGGGGTAAGCGTCCCTGGCGGCGGGCCCGTGCCACAGACTCTGGGTCTGAGTGTCTCAGCTGCTCGCAGCGCCCGTCCACGCGCCGGTCGGCTCACCTGTCCGCAGTCGGTCCCGCTCGGCCTCCAGCACGGCGCCGGCGTCGTCCATCTGGTCGGCCTCGCCGGCCGCCCGCAGCTGCTCGCGCAGCTCGTCGCTCAGCTGCTGCAGCTCGGCGCAGCGGGCCGTCAGCTGGCCAGACTCGGCCTCCAGCTGGCTCACCCGCTGGCGCTTCTGCGACTTGACGCGGAACACCATCTTCTGCGAGTCGGCCAGCTCCCGCTTCACCTCAGCCAGCTCCGACTCCAGCGCCGCCGCGCGGCCGGCCTGCGAATCAGCGCGGGCATGTCAGCTCGCCGTGGAGCTGGCCGGACATCCGAGGCCACGCAAGAGGCTACCGTGCTCAATGGCGCTGTCCACTACTGTGTTGGTAATGCACTATACATGCAGTGGTGGATTATTACCTCGTCTTTGGCCGACGCCTGCAGCTTGACAAGTTTTTCCTGGAGATTAGCGTTCGCAATAACCAAATCAAATCTGGTCGACTCGGCCTTCTTATAGTTTTCTTCCGAAGCTTCAAGCCTGCAAAATGCACATAAGCATGATTTGAAAATTGTGTTCATGAATAGAGCAATCATACACGATCATACATCATCTCACTGGTGGCTTTGTCAATGACGCTTCTAGTCACCTGTCAAGGACGTCATCTGTCGTGATATCATGGGCAACGACGCTACTAGTCACCTGTCAAGGAAGTCGTCTGTCGTGATATCCTCCACAACGACGCTACTAGTAACGTGTCAGGGACGTCATTTGTAGTGACATCCTCGACAACGACGCTATTAATCACCTGTCAATGACGTTATTTGCAGTGACATTCTTGACAACGACGCTACTGTCACCTGTCAAGGATGCTCGTAACATTTCTTTCCACGGACTTCAGTTTATTATTACGTCAGTTTATTATTTATACACACAGGGTACAACACCTAGCACTCCGAGGTTTGAACATATGACTCGGCTCGATTATCTCGATGACTGATCGACGACGACCATGACAGGCAATTCAGCACAACAACTCCAGTCTCGGCTGGCAGGCCGGGATGCTCGTGCTCAACCTCTCACCTCTGGTTGGCCTCCTGCAGTTGCCGGGTGAGTCGTTCCTCGCGCACGCGCCAGTCGGCCTCGTGCACGGCGAACGCCTCCTGCATGGCCGTCATCTGCTGGCGCGTGTCGTCCAGCGTCTCCAGCGTCACCTGGCCGCGCTCGGTCAGAGCGCGCGTCACCAGGTTGACGGCGGCCGTGCGAGCCGAGATCACCGACTCCTTCTCCTGCAGCGTGTCCTGAGCGGGGAGGGGGCACCGGGCGACGGTCACAGACGAATCGGCTGGCTGCCGCCGAGGCCGGGACACCCACCGCGGCGTACCTACCTTGCCGCGCCACGCCCCGGCGGTTTGAGTGGACACCGGCGGACATGGCGCGTGTCGGGCGACATGGGGCGGTGAGCGAGGCATGAGCTGAGCACGACACGGCAGAAGTTCAGTGGGATGGATCGACGGCGTGCAGTTCGTCAGTGAATACTGCGGCGGCCACAGCTCTGCCCGCCGCAAGGCGCAAGCGGCTTAAGAACACACCCTGGAAAACAGCGGAGGCCAAGGCTAGACCAATTTTACTGTAGCAGCAGCGTCGGCCTGCCCGCCGCGTGTCCGCAGACGCGCTTCACCTTCAGGTCGACGACAGTGGCCTCCAGCTGGGCCACCTTGTCGGACAGCTCGTAGATGCGGTTGTCCTTCGCCAGGATGACGCCGTACAGCTCCTCCGGCTCTTTACCTCGCACCGAGTCGCTCAGCGTCATCGACTGCGGACGGGGGAGAGAGGTTGGCCGAGGGCCTGCGGTACAACTAAGGGGAGTGGTGGGGGGGGGGGGGGGGGGCAAGGCTGGCACCACACTCGGCTCGATGCTCATCTGGTCAGCACCGAATCCGAACCATTGGTATAGGGACTACACTGGCGGACAAAAGGCATCATGCAGAAGGCCTCATGTGGATGTTTCGGCCCTGTACGCATAGGGGAGGAGAGTCAATCTCCAGGCGACGACCGAAAGGCGCTTAGAGGAACGATCTCAGAAGGATGGGCTTTTATCGGTTTTTGCCGGTTTTCGGCGGCAATAATCGTCAACACGACAGAGCCCACATGCAGGAGTCCCCAATGCAAAAAGCCCTCTCGTTATAAACGCTGCGAACCACCAGCCAGGGGCAACACCAGCTCCTCGACGGACACCCCAGCAGCCGACTACCGTAGCGGCGGCGCAGTGGCGAGCGATCGCGTGCTGGCCACGCCCACCTTGCGCGGCGACGAGCCGTAGTCGACGTCGCCGTCGGAGCCCGAGTCGGCAGAGTCGCACGAGTCGTAGCAGTAGTCGGTGTCCTCGATGCGTGACTGCAGGTTGCGCACCATGGTCTCGAGGTCGACGCGGCGCTCTTGGCTGCGCTCCTCCTGCACCCGCCTGCCGGCCGCCGCACCGGCAGTCAGACACGCGCGCCGCCCGGCCACCGTTCTCGGCGCCATTTAACGCGCGTGCTGGCCGACATCGCGGCTGCCGTCTTCGGTTGTTACAAGCGCGGGAGTTCTCCCATTTCACTGGCCTTCCCGGCTACCATCCGCTCTAACCTATTTGTACATCGATAAAATCGTTATCCATTTAACGCAATGAATCAAAATGCATCGGCTACTAACGATCTAAGACTAGCAAAATACATCGAAACAAATTAATTTTTTGTTGCTTTTTTCTTGCATTTCACATATCTCTCGGTGTCTTCAGAAGCACATATATCATTCCACCAGATAACAACTACTGTTTGTGCATACCACAAGAGCCATGCAGCAGGGGCCACAACAAACACAATGCCTCTGCTAGCCTCAACTGATCAAGCGCAGCTGCGATTTCCGCCGATACCCCGAGCAGCCGACGGTTGCCCGGCGACTGCTGCCCACCTCTGCTCCTCGAGCCTGCGCTTGATTTCGAGCATGCGCTCGCGCCGTCCCTGGGCGCCGCTGGTCGAGGCCGTGCTCTGGTTGGCCGGCGCCTCCTCCTCCAGCGCGGCCACCTGCTGGCTGAGCCTATCCAGCTTCGAGGTCTGCTCGTGCTCCGCCCGACTCAGCCGCTGCAAGGGTAACGGGCGACGTTACGACAGACTCTTCCCAAGCATGGGCGGCGGGCGACATTACGACAAACCCCGCCGTTGCACGGCCGGCAAGCGTCGTTACAACGTCAGACCGCTGCTGACATGCTCAAACACTGACATCTTATAAGGTAGGAAGACAAGGGACAGACTGATGGAATAAGACACCTTCACAGCTTATACTTGTCCATTTAAGTGCAGGACAGGTGATACAATTTTTAGACAGTGGTAATAGCCTCATTCCTCGGAGAAAACGAGGAGAATGGAGATATAGATTTGCTGATATTTCTGCAACATGCCTTTATCAAAACAATGGCAAAAGTACGCAATACAATTTTTGTTAATTTTCATGTATATGGTAACAACAGAGAGAACAATGTCATAAGCCATCTACGAAATAAATCACTAATATATTTGACTGTCAACATCACACATCATGTGGGGAAGCTCATTTACACTTACCTGAACCTGTTGCTCCTTCTCATGCAGCTGACTCTGGTGGGTTTTCACCATGTCCTTGAGCTGCTTGATAAGGTTCTGCTGCATATCAAACTGTTCTTTCATGTCCTCTATTTCTGGGGCAGCCTCAACAGCCTCAGCGGCTGCCTCAGCACCCTCGCTGCCACCCCACCACATGGTGACCACTCAGGAGCTGCTAACGCATTCCAGGCCTGACGAGAAAGTGTAGTAAGTTACCAAAATTTGTAGAAGTAAGCCTGTTGAGAGTCAGATATGCTTTTTCACACATTCTGAATATAAATCACCTGTATGCAGCTTATCCACTATGTGTCATAGCATGTTGACATCTTGATCACCGTCATGTCCTGTCACTTGCTGTCATTGTAATAGCATATCAAAAAATACATTTACAGTGCCTCCCATCCGAGATAGATTTGGCTGAGATAATTCAGATGTCTTGATCTAATGGAACTGCAATAAAAATAATGCTCTCGGTCCACATATAATCTCCCAAACTGTTAACTGCATTCAATTAAAAAATAAATATATCTGAATGTGTGAGGGTAGGAATAAGCAATTTCAGATCAACAGCTGAACTTGGTGCCCTGGTGAGACCTAATGTGATGGCAATTGGGTGCTCTATCATGGCAATATGTCTGCTGCTCACAGTGTATTCCGAAGACATCTAGATTCAAACTACACCCACAATAGCTTTGGACCACGCGAACACCATCACCATCATCACTTGTTACAAGCCCTGATCCCATCTGGTTCCCTGTCAGCTACTTCCTTTTCCTGAAAAAGAAGTTCAAGCTGCAAGGTCACCCTTTTGACATGACCAGGGTGATCAAACATCACATGGTGCTTGATGTGCTTAAAGAGCCAGGCTTAAAAGAGCATTCTAGGCTGGTAGGACTAGGAGTGATGCATCACTGCATATGGTGATGCTTCAAAGTGAATGACTTAAAATTGGAATCAGGTGTGCATTTCGCTTTTGAAACTAGCCTCATAACTTTTTAATTACATCATGCATTTTACATATTATAGAAACATCTCTGCGCCATGCCACAGAAACATATCTGTGCTGCCTAGCTGGGATCAGGACTGTGGATGTGTTATGCTATGCTGCTTTTTGAAGCACTACAAAAGTTCCAAAAAAACAGTGTGTAACATTAACATTATGATAACCAGCATGGTTCAATAACATGCATTGCATTTGGTTTGATGTGATGTTAAGGAAGACTTATTGTCATCAGTGTCTTTATGCACTCAACAGATGATTTAAGGATGCTTGCAGACCACATGATAGAATGGAGAGGTTGGAAAATAAAGTGGTCATGAAAAGTGATGATAACACAACAAAAACAGCAAACATATTCCTAAAATAATTGATCTGGTAAGTTCTACAAAGTAGGTCATGTGCCTTTACACCTGCACACCTGAGAGGCATCTGCACACATCTTTCCATGTACATTTTCTTCACCCAGACACCACTCACTTACCAGTTGCTAAAGGCATGTTGATTTTGAATCATGAACAAAAACAAACCAAGGGTTGTTGCATGCCTGCAGTACACCATCAATTACAAGCTATTTACAGTTTTAACTCTGGTCAACTTTGGAATACATGGGGCCAAAAATAAAAATAAAACACTTCGGCTCCCATGCACCAAACAGAAAATTAAGATAAACAGGCATGATGGCATGCCAGTATCCACACGGTTCACCTTACAAAGTAGGTAGCATCTGAAGCGCTGGTATGGCACATCGTTCACTTAAACTAGATGCCCCCTCAAATAAGCAAAACACCAGTACATCTCAAAGATGATACCTACCTTCTATTAGCATCAACCATTCAAATTACGGCAGAAAAGACGGTCCTCTAGCACTCGCCCAAAGACGGCGACGCCTACAACATTAAAGACAGGTTTCGGAACAGCTGTGTTCTCAATCATTACGATAACTTTACGCAGGTTGTATCGTACACGTCCTCTAAGTTTTAGTATATTTTCCATTTATGTTTCAGAAACTGGTTCCGGCTACACATATGCGAGCTCAGATTCAGGGTCCTCCAGTAAAATGCTCCATTTTACTTGATCAATCATTGTTTCAATATGGAGGATGCACATTCTTAAGCGTTTTACTTCGTATTTGCTTTTCCGTGGTGCAACCAAAAATTCGTACCAAAATATGTACTAGCATACATCCCAAGACATGCCAGTTATGACAGTTCCGAAGTGAGTGTTGCGAACAATGCGCAAACAACGCTAGCAATTTAGCAGACGAGTTCTAGGGTTAGTTGGGTCTGTATGTAACAAATTGCATCTCACCAATACGAACAGTGCCTTTAGGCTTCACCATCACAGTTTCCCTACCACCTTTGTTGAAGTATCACCATTTGCACTTCAAGGGCAACAGTGTGCCCATGGTATTTCATCGTGACAGTAGCCATCTAGGGCTTGTGCTCCTACCGCACACACTGAGCAAAACTTGTGTGGCACATGCGCATGTACCCGATGCTGATGAGGCTCACACATTGTGTTTCACAGGGGCTTTATGATGCACCCATCTGTGGGGCTGTATGGCGTTGGCTACCTCTCACCCTGGCAGGAAGGGATGGCACTGTGGGGAATCGAACCCAGTGCCTCCGGTTTCCCAAACGCCCAGCAGCTAATGGCAATTTTAACCACCTCACTACTGGCACCCCCAACTCACAGCATATTCGGGGCATACATCTGCCCAGTCTGTTGCCCCTCAACATCCTGGGTCAGCATAACTTCACTATGGCTGAACTTGTGCCTGTTATATAAAGGGGCAACTATCTGCAGCAACCCCACACCTTTTCAGTCCCATCTGCCATTCTTTCATACCCAGGGTTCCATCTGTCCTCCAAGTAACACTTGTCGCAAGTATAGCCAATTCAAACACCAATGCTGGGTCACCAAGAGATGTATTATTTGTACACAGCAGTCGCAGCAAGGCATTGGTGGATGGCTGATGTACAGTCTGCAGCACGCTCATGCCACACCATACCGCTTGCGCCGGAGCGCAGGCGGCAGCTTTTCTTCCACACGAGCGGCTGGGGCCTCCACTGCCAGCAGCTGGTCTTCTCCCAAGCTGCCCAGGTAGAGCAGGTGGCGGTACCTGCAGACACCAGCCATGATCAGGACCTTGACCAACCAGCTTAGTGACCAGGGCGCAACACAGATTTTAACCTGGTGATGTCAGGCCACTAGGCTTTGACATCAGCACTAAAGACAACTTCATGTTCTCAGGCAAACATCAGCTTTCCACCATCCTGTGATACATTATACTGCATGGCAAGCATGCCACTGATAAAGAATGAGAGCCATCATGAACTTAGGTCACTGGAATGATCCACCACCTTTCCATTAATGAGCTGGCTGTCATCAATGCAAAAAAGCGCAAGCAACCACACCCTACCAATACATGCGAAAGGCCATACGATGCCTTGGAAAGATCGCAAACGTACTTGTCGGTGATAACAACGCTGTTGTCTGGCCCGGCCGGCTGATCCACCTCGGTGACCTTCCGGCGCCCCTTGGCGGAGCGGGCCCTCTTCTTGTCCAAGCCGCCCTCCTCTCCGGCGGCCGCGTCCAGCGCGCATACGCCGCTGTCATCGTGCAGCAACACGCGGGTGCCGCACCCGCTGAAGGCCACGTGGCGCACAGGCAGCGCGCGGCGGCGCCACGCCTCCGGCACGTGGCCGGCCGCCCAGCGTGACCAGGTGGTGAAGTGGCCTTCGTCGGTGTCGAACTCGACGAGCGCGCGGTCGGCGTAGGCCACCAGGAGGCGGGCGGCGTCGGCAGGCCGGAATGCCAGCGCCGTGGCCGGGGCCGCGTGGCGCGGCAGCCGCGCCACTACGGCTGCCTCTGCCAGGTCCCACACCAGCACACCGCCGTCTCGATCGGCCAGCGCCACGCGCCGGCCGTCCGCGCTCAGCGTCAGCAGATGCAGCGGTCCGGCCGGCGCCGCCTCCTCGTCCGGCTCGTCCTCGTCGTCGGGCGCGCGGCCGTCGGCCGGGCCGAGCTCATCCGCCTGCACCTCGTCGCAGCCGGCGGCGGCGAGCCGCAGTCGCACCAGCCGGCCGTCGGCGGCCAGCAGTACCAACCAGCCGGCGTCGGGCGTGAACCGTAGCTGGTGGGCGGCGCCGGCGGCCGGCGCTGGCAGGCTGCGCACGCGCTGCAGACTGGGCCGCGGCCCAGACACGTCCAGCCGGTGCAGCCGCAGCCGCGTCTGCGTCGAGTAGGCCAGCCAGCCGGCGTCGGCCGACACGGCGGCGCAGAGCAGCGTCTCGCCGCGCCGGCAGGCCAGCTGCAGCAGCTGCAGCGGCGTCGCCGCGTCGCCGGCCGCCGGCAGCCGCCACAGCTGCAGGCCGGCGTCAGTAGCCGTCACCAGGCCGGGCAGCGCCGGCGCCGGCAGCACGTTGCCCAGCTGACGGCGGCACAATGACGTCACAGGCGGCATGTCACACGGTTCACAGGTACTATGAACAGGTACTATGGCCATATGAACAATACCTGCAGACATACGCCACTCGGGAACTTGGAGTCATACGCAACCAAAAAATACAATATACGGCACGGGTGCAGACAAATAAGGACGTTATGTACAGAAATATTTATGAAAAAGCAGCTCTCGACCAGGACGTTAACTATCTGGCAAAAAACGTATGCAATTTATAAGAACATCAGTTAACATAAAAAGTCAACCTTGAAGAATTCCTTTGAGAAAGAACATAGTACCATCTAATCCTACGTGAAGGCCCCAGTGGTTACCTGTGGGAGCGGAGACGTCCGGATGGTGTCCTTGTTACTTCCCTGCATGTCAAACACCAGAGCTGCGTCCACACCTGCAAATGGAGTGGAAGAAAACATTCCACATGCGACAGCGTCGCGGCAGGTACCAGATATATTGGAAAAAGCTCGCCTTTTCATTATGGGTAAGCAAAAAGGCGTTCTAAATAACAAGTGTACTCGGAAAATATACTCAAAACCTTTTCACCTGATAACGCCATGAAATGCTTTCATGATGTAAGAGTCGCTGCCAGAGTTGCCCCTTTTACGCACAGCATTGCACACCTGGGGCACTTCTACGCGCTGCTGGGTGACGATTTTGGTTTATGCGTTTAAATCAAACCCGCGAGCATGATAGCTGGGTGTTTTGACCTTCGCTCGATGTGTCCTTTTATGGTTTTCAACGATGGCAAGTCCCTTACTTGCATTTGAAGTTTTGGTTACAGCGCTTTCTTAAGTTACTCGACTATCAGCCCCACGTCTGTTATATCTAGTGGCCCAAATATCTGCGCCATCTATGGCAAAACGCGTTCACCCGAACCTCTAATTCCCTTCCCTGCCTTCTCCTGAATCTTCGCGACGCCCCACTTGTCCGGGGCAGGCTACATGCGCCAGTAACGAGTGGACGCAGAGGAGGGGGACTATGACCGGGTGCCCGTCGCACACCTCGCAGAGGGGTCCCTGCATGGGCAAAGCTTCGGCGGTTGCTCCCCCCTCCCCTCCCCCCACCCTGCCCTCCCCCGGTGTATGTAGTCCTGTCCCCATCATCCATTCTCATTCATTCCATAGCCCTGGCATCCTCATATTTGTGCTCCAGCAAAGTTTCGCCCTCAAGCCTGCGCCGAGCACTTCGTCACTAAACTTTGAAAGTTTCAATTCCGGGATAAATCGTGTGAAATCGTGTACGTTCCTTTGACGGAAAAAGGTCGGACATTGCATCACATCCCAGCGTAATCCCCACCAAATCGCCATCTTCCCGGGATCAATTCCAATCTAACAGCAACGCAAAACGAAGGCTTACTCACAATCCTAAAACGGAGAATGCCACATTTGTTGAACTTTTCATTTAAAGTTTGATCAAGCGCGTACGATCAGGTAATACCAGTTTCTGAATAGCCCAGAATTTAGATCTGAAGGAGCCGCTCCCGCGGAAGAAATGGCAATGGACTCTCCGCTCACTACGAAAGTAATACATTTAATTTGCCGAGTCTTTTCCAGCGTGCGCGTGATGTAATTTTTGCAACACATTAAGTTCTCCACGTGTTTGTACAATAAATGCTATGAAAGCTTGCAACACTCTATTTAAACAAAAATGGTACACAAACATGAAGCTATCATCCCGCGAATTCAACGAAACGCTATGCTATAACTTTTATTTATCCCGTGGTGTTTACCACGTTGGCTCTTTCCCGGGCGCACATCGACTTTGGGAATGGGAGTACCACACGGTCCATGGTGACGCACTGGTTCAAACTTTGACCAATGCACTTTTCGGTAACAGGCCCCTGCCGCCCGTTGGGCTAATCACAAACGTTCTTTTATTTGCACCAGTGCAGATACCACGGCGGTTTTCAAGACAACGGTGGGCGCGACAACCGCAGGGAAGAAGAGTAGTGCTGTAAGTGCTCACAGCGTGACTTGAGCTCGAAAATAATTAAACTTAGCATCCTGATGTCTTGACGGTGCTCCAGTGGCAATACCGAGCGTTATTATAAGACGTCACTGGTCCTGAGGTTTCACTACAGCGTGAATGTAAAGTGCGCCCTGAAGGCGGAACAATCCCTTTAAATAGCTTGTAGCCACCAAACAGTTGTGTTTGGGTTACAGGGCAGCTTCAGGCGTCGCAGACAATGCAGCTTCGTAATGATTGCAAGAACTCCAGACGGCCAACACCCACATACCAAAACTACTTGTGTGTTAAGTCAAAAACATACTTTATGAAACACCTGCGAAATAACTTAACTCTTGGCAATAGCAATTTGACCAACTAAGGTAACTAACTTAAATATTGGTAATAATGCCTCTAGGTAATTCCAGAATGCTGCGCGCATTTCGGTACACTGGATTTACAAAATGAATCCCACCACATCAGCCAGCGGTGGGACGCTTCTAGCCTGCCGAGATCAGCCAGCGGTGGGACGCTTCGAGCCTGCCGAGACCAGCAAGCGGTCGGTCGCTTCCCACCTGCCGAGATCAGCCAGCGGTCGGTCGCTTCCCACCTGCCGAGATCAGCCAGCGGTGGGCCGCTTCTCACCTGCCGAGATCAGCCAGCGGTCGGCGCCGATCAGCACACGCACGTCGCGCACGTGCAGCTGCACGCGCGTCGAGCGCACCCAGGAGGCGGCGGCGCCGCGGGCGCCCACCACCCGATCGAAGCGCGCAATGGTGGGATCGACGCCGGCGGCGAACACGGCGTCGCCGCCGGCGCCGACCGCCACCGCCAGCACATCTGCCTTGTGGGAGCTGAGAGAGATGTGCAGAGCGCCTAGCCGGCCGTTCCAAAACGAGACGCGGCCCCTGTCGGCGACAGGCGGGCAGTGAGCGCGGCGCGCGGCAATGTGACACGGTAGCAGTGCGACAGGGGTGGGAGGAGGCGGGGCTGTCGCATCGAGTTGCAGTCACCTTGATTGAGGCATACGAAAAGAGCGCACTACAAGGCACGCTGGCAGTAGAGCGTCATTTTGACCACCCGGTTTGAGCGACAACACAACACGGGTAACGTTTGGTCCGTTTAATTCCACAACGCAACACGGGTAACGTTTGGTCCGTTTAATTCCACGCTCAACACCGAACACGAGCGAATATAGGGCGAGGCGACAACACTGTGTAGCTGTGTACTGTGTACCTTTACCATACCATTGTAATGCTGTGTACCATTCATTTGTGTACCATGCCATGTACCATTCACCGTTTTGATTATCACATCCTCCCGCGCCTACAGCCGCGAGCGTCTACGCGCCGGCGCGGTCGCCGGCAGCCCACATAGCGGTCCGCCAGCCGCACGGACCTGGAGTCGCCGGTGACGAGCGTCATGTCGGACAGCAACGCCACGCTCCAGACGAGCGTCTCGCGCCGGCCGGGCCGGCGGCCGACGGCGATGCGCGACAGCAGCGCCCCCGTCTCGACGTCGTGCAGGCACGCCGTGTTGACGGAGCCGGCCGCCAGGTGTCGCCCGTCCGGGTGCCAGGCCACACTCAAGATCCGGCGCTCCTGTGGAACACGGCAGGCAGGCGTGACGCTGGGGGAGGAGGGCAGGTGGTCGGGAGCGGTGGGGACTAGAGTATGGGACAGAGCAATTACAGCGCTGGTTACCAGAGTAGATTTGGTTCTAAGAACTTTGAGCCCCACCATATAGGGGTGAGTTCCACTCCAGAGAGTTTCTTAGATGGATGTAGTTTCACGAAGTGAAACAAAAGGGGCAAGAGAAATTGTAAAAAATGGGAAAAATGAAAAAACAAATGAAAAAGGCTGAACAGTGAAAAATGATTATGCCTACCCATGAAAATTGCTTATAAACAGATATTTCCTCAAACTTTGCCCATTTGTTCCCAAAGTTATGGGAACTAGAACAGAGTGGGGGAGAGATGAAGCCCCCACCACACTAAATGAGTTGTGCACACATGCACTCTTTCTTGCTACCCTTCCACATACAGACAAGCTAAAGCCACACTGATTTTTAAAAAAAATATCACCCCCACACAGCTACCAGCTAGCAAACAGTTGTAGCACATCCCATGAGTGGCATACATCCGCAGCTGTGCGTCACACCGCAGCCAGCAGTCTGACAGCAGCAACAGCGACAGACCTGCTTGGTGAGCTTCCTCTCAAAGACGAGACCCTCGTCGCCGAGCCGGTGCAGCACCACCTGGCCATCCTCAGTGCCAGCAGCCAGCTGATGGCGGCTAGGCTCAGCTGCCATGCACCAGGCGGCACCCCCGCTCACTGCCGTGCTGGCTGTTGCCTCCAGGCCGTGGCCGCCATGCTCCAGCAGGTGACCATGCAGGCCAGTGGAGAAGAGGCGCCCGGCACACCAGGCCAGCGCCTCCACGCTGGCACCAGGCGCTGCCGGCAGGCGCGCCTGCAGCACAGGCGCGCCACGCAGTGCCAGTGCGCAGCCCACATCCCACAGCTCAACTGAGTTGTCCGATCTGTGGCAGCCAGGCAACAGCAGTGAAAATGCATCAGAATAAGTCAACCGCTCCATGAGGTTAAGAACAATGTATTGAAGTCACATATCATGCTAGAAGCAAAAAACTGTTGGGTTCCTTCTTTGAAAATCTAACAGTTTGTTGGCAATCATGGAAATCGATGCAAGAAGTTTAAACACACAACATCTGACTTGATTCTTTAATATTTGACAACTACAGCTACACAGAGTGGGTATCACATCACATGATTAGGAGTAAATGGGTTGCTAATATTCACCTGGAAATGGCTAGCTTCTTGGTGTCATTGTTCAGGGCACCACAATGTATTGCCTTGGGTTCAGGTATAAAAAACCTGACTGTATGTGTGTGGAAAGAAGGCATTTCTATGCCCAGGGTCACAATTTGACATTAACAAACAGCATGCCAGATATATATCAGCTAGACTATACTGATATGCAACAATGCAGGTACAGTTACTGGTGGCTTGTTTGAGACTGCCTTGAGTGTGTACTCATAGACCAATGGCAATGTTTACAACTGGGCACTGTGACTTTCTGGTATGCTTCAAAGATGACTTGATATATTTGATAGTGTACATTAATGTTTCCAAATAGGGTCAAAGTACCATGTTCTATCTCATACAGAAGCTTATTGCAGCCTCTTGGTTTTTTCTTTTCTATCTGAAAACAGGTGAGAATAAAATAAGATCAGGCTTCAACATGTGCACAGACAACATTTTAGCAATGCAACTAGTGGATGCCTAAATGCTTGGACACAATGTCAGGCTTAATTCTTCAATCAGCAACCTCTAAGCCTACTCAAGGCAGAGCATGTGGCTTCAAGGTGCCCTAGCACTCACTATTTGCCATTGGCTGGTATGGTCTGCAGCTGGTGGCAACAGCCACTCAGATGAGGCCAGAGGATGGGGCAGATGGTGCTGAGCACTGCAGCACACTTCTTAGGCTAAAAGTTGAATACCTACAAGCTGTAAACCTTCAGGACCAAGGTTTAGTGCAATGCCCCACCAATTTCAACAAAATAAAACCAAATGTTTCAAGGTATGTACCACACCAAATTCAAACAATTTGCTAAAATACAATTTTAGCCCTAGCAATTTTTCACACAACATTAAGACTTCACAGCTTTTTTACTTTAAGTGCATATGGGACCCTCATTCTCCATCTTCAGTGCACCAAAATGTAAGTATCTGGTGAAGAGGATGGATTTTTGCGGGCTGGACTAGAAAAACGGCCTGAAAGGCTGTGATCCCCACCCTGGAAACACCTCCAGACCAGACATGTGACCAAAAAACTCAGAAACCACTTGTACGAAAAAATATCTGAAAATTCGGTCCCCTTTGGAATAGCCCGAGTTAGGCGCACGCGTTCGAAGATCCAGCGCACAGATAACGCGTAGGTTACGTGCTCATAGGAGAATGGGCACGCGACGCAGGGGATGGCTTCTATGCAGACTGGCCTGTCTCCCCAGCCCAAAGCCCCGCGGCGTTGTTGTGATAATGAAGAACGCCGGCCACCCTCTTCCCAGCGCACCCCCACGCTCACCTCCCCGCTCGCACGCATCTCCCGCGACACACCGCAGCCCCCCTCCACGTGCGCCACGTGCTGTGGCGGTACCGCGTTGGAAACGTCGACAGCATTTAAGGTATTGAACATTAAATTTAGATTTCAAGAAATAGTCAGCTATTTAATCCATTTTGATGACGTAGCGAGGTGTCATCGCCTATGGCGAATAGCCGTCACCACAGACGACGCCAATTTGTGTAGAGAATGCGATTCAAAATATGACGCAGGATGACGCATTGACGTAAACATGATGCAAAACTGTTCGACAGCAAACACTTGCTGGGCGAATGATGTGCATGGCATCCGCATCCCACGTTACTGACGCCATGAAACACTTAAAGAAATGGGCGTTAACATTGGTCCAGCTACAAAACATTCGCTGCACGTGCATTAAGAACACATTGGTTCAATCGAGGAGTTTTGAATAGATCGAGGGGTTAGAATGCTGTGCCAACGGCTGCCTGGACATGGGCCCTACGTATGACGCGTTTGGCGCCGGCTAGACGCAACTTGGGCACCACATTTTAGAAAGGCATGAAATCGCATACATCACGACTATTGTTAGCCATTTTATCTCAGTGATTTTCAAAATAATTGCAAATGTCGCCAGTGGATATAAATTCAACTTTGCAGCCCGTTGAGGACACTGAAAGGCTTACAACCCAAATGGTCCGTGCAGTGATCGTAGAATATGGAAGCATATCAAAATTTGCAAGTTAACGGACAAAACTATGTGCAATCATCGACTACTTAGTATTGAACTTGGCGCAGAAAAGGGTCGCCTTCGACCGTGCTCCACTGTCAGGGGAGTAGTTTCCTTTTCAGTTGGGAGAAGTTTTAACGCCTCCCATATCAACTCAGGCCTCACCCCCCCCCCCCCCCACACACACAACATTAAGATGGGCTACAGCTCCTCCAGCCTTGAGAAGAAAGCGGGCTAAATATGGAGATAATTTTTGCTCTTCAGCCCCCTCTCCTCCTTGAGACATTTTGTGAAACTACGCCTTGGCCCCCTATCGGTACATCTTTGACCGCAGTTCCCGAATGTTAGCCCCCACCTTTCCAATGACGTATGTGTGGAAAGTGAAGCTCCACGCGCATCATCCACCAAGTCACTGAACGGTGGCGCGTCAGGAGACCTATGTCCAGGAAGCCTTTGCTCCCCCAGCCATATGTCCAGGAGGCCTACGTCCACTGGACCTACGGCCAGGAGACCTACGCTCACGAGGCCTACGCTCACGAAACCAAGGTCCGGGAGACCTGTGCTCACGAGACCTATGCCCAGGAGACCTACGCTCACTGGACCTACGCGCATGATACCTACGATGACATCATTCCCAAATTATCGAGTCCCTCTTGGCTGGTCGGCTGCCACCTGTCATGGGGAGGGTAAACGAATATCGATTGTTGAAGGCGCGAGATATCGATGCCTGCTGTTCATAGCTCCTCGTCTCATTTCGCCACCGTTACGAAAAAAGTGTGCATGTGTGACGAGAGAGAGAGAGAGGAGAGAGAGAGAGAGAGAGAGAGAGAGAGAGAGAGAGAGAGAGAGAGAGAGAGACCACATTTACAGAATTTGTGCGAAAGCGTATCACAGTGTACATTGATAATAAGCCCATGTTGTCGGCCTAAGCGTCCGGATAATTACAATGTGCGTGTGATTTTTGCATACTGTCCACTGACAGCTATGGCCGGGAGGCGCTGCAATGATGTTCCTGTCCAAATTTGCTGCAACGTTTTTAGAATGTGCTCACAAATTTCGAACTTTTTTGGTGTTTTGAGACCTTTGAAAGAAACCTGCCTTGTGACATGAGATGAAGTTCTGTGCTTTTGGAGTATGGCTCAACTATGCTGAGAACTCGATGGAAAACTAAAAATATATTCAGCGCATGGCGCCTAAACTCAGTAGCCGTTGAAAGGGTCTGTGGGACTTTGAACTGGGAGCCGGTGATGCGGCTTTGTCGCAGACCAGACCAGGCCAGAGGTCCTCGTCGGGGTGTCTGCCTGAACTGTCATTGATGACGGGTGATCTGAACACTTCCTGTCGTACCTCTTCCAATTCCCCCGAAACCTGAGAAAAGCTGCCCACCCTTCCAGGAACGGTCCTTTCATTCTGAGCGTGCGGGGAGGAGGCAAGGGGAGGGAGCGAGCGGCCGGGGTGGTAATACCCGGCTGTTCGGTCTTGCCCGAGACGTTGGCAATGGAAGTCAGTGGCGGATCCAGGATTTCGTCTGATGGGTCACCACGCAAAACTGTGGGCCTCTGAGAAGTTCGCGGCCCCTCCAAGACAAAAATAATCGGATTTTGGCCATTAAATTCTCAGATTTTTCCTTCCCATTTTGTATGAGAAAACTGAGTGCGCCTTTGCGCAACCCTTGCACACGAAGAGTCGAAAACGCCGCCCCCGCGCGGTATGTGGAATCTCACCTCCGCCGGTATGGTCTCGACTGTAAGCCAGCCGTGCGACTGTCCGACGGCGCCCGTGTGCTCGGACTGCTCGTTGAGGAGAAGCGAGGACGGCTCGTGTGGCGGAGGGACAGCGAAGTGACTGACGCGCCGCGACCACTGACTAAACGGAGTGTACTCTCCCTGTGTGGCCGCCTGATCGCCCATCCGCTGGTCTGCGGGTGGCTTCGACCCGCGACTCCCTTCGTTAAGTGTCCGACAAGCTCAGTGCCAACATCGTGGGATGAGGAAGTGAAAGACGCACGCGTGATCGGGATGGTGGAAGAGATGCTGCACCGTGCGGCAGAGGCTGACCCCGCGGGAGGACGGTGGGACGTGGAAGGTACCGTGGCGAGAGTGTGGGTGGACGCTAGTGCGTTGGCACTGGGAGCGGCCCTGGAGGTGAACGGGGAGATAGTGGAAGACGGGAGCTGGCTCCGACGCGACGAGTGTGTGCACATTAGCATGGCCGAGATGGACGCTGTGCTGAAAGGCATAAATTTGGCCATCGTGTGGGGAGCCAAGACTGTGGAGGTGCTGACTGACTCTCGGTCCGTGTACCGCTGGGTCTCCGACGCGCTCTCGGGCAAAGCTCGGGTGAGGGCAAAGGCGGCTAGCGAAATGCTGACTCGCCGGCGCCTGCAGACCTTCATGTCGACCATCGAGGAGAACGAGCTGGTAGTGAGGGTCAGCTTTGTGAGCTCCAGTGAGAACAAGGCTGATGTTCTCACTCGAGTGCCGCAGAAGTGACTGTCGGCCGCGTCCAACGGTGTCACCTGCGCCGCCGTCTCCAGTGACGAGCTGGCGGAGGAGCTGTCAGAAATCTGCAGAGTGCATGAACTCTCTGGACACCCAAGAGCTAAGCGCACCCTGTATTTCTGCAGGCGCGCCCGGCCGATGACGACAGTGACCAAGCGTCAATGCAGCATTTGGAGACTTCGCGCGGCGGTGGGGGCTCGCGGTCCGGTTCCGTGCAGCTCATGCACCGTCTGGAAACGGGGCGGTGGAACGATGCCACCGAACGGTGAAATCTGTCGTAGATCGGTCACAGTGTTCGGTAGCTGAAGCCGTCTATATGTACAATGTGACACCGAAGGGCGGGATGGGACATGAGACTGCGCCCACGAACGCAGTACACCGGTGCGAGCTGCGCGTGCGCGGAATTGACAGAGCGGTGGATGAGCCGAGCGTAGTGGTATGTGAGTTTGGTGTTGGCGACAGTGTGTGGGTGCGGGACCCCAGCCGCCGATGTGATAAACAGCGTTCGCTCGGCACCGTCCCCAAAGTGCTGTCCGCGCAGACTGTGGAGGTCAACAGGATGCCTCGGCACGTGCGCGACCCACGTGTCGCCAGGGTGGAGCGAGATGACGCGAGTGAGGATAGGGGGGGGGGGGGGGGGGGGGGTACGGCGGAAGGCTCTAATGTACACGAGCCGAGCGTGTTCCAAATAGCGGCTCCGCGTGTGGATCAGGGTGCAAAAACGAGGTTAGGGAAGCCGGGACGCCGGAAGCAGAGCCAGGAACGGGAGGGAATATTGAGGGCCTGGCAGTTGACGGTCATGATGTGAGCCGAGAGCCGCAGCCGCCGAGGAGGAGTTGTCGTGCTGTGCGGCAGCGCGCCCGTTGAACCATGTGCCAATGAGACGCGTTATATGATGTGTATGCCCCTGTGTATGATGTGTGATGTGTTGTGATCTAAGATCAGGGGGGAGTGTGCTGTGTGTGCGCCGAGTCGGCCGGCCGATACGTGTGGGTCGTCTCCTCAGCCCTGTCTGGCTGCTGAGTCAGCTGACTGCCGCCCCGGGACCGGCTGGCGCGGCGACAGTGGGAGAAAGGACAGGCGCGGGAGAGGTGCGCAGGGAGGTGCCGGTCACGTTTCAAATACAGTCATCCGCGCTCTTCTTTGTTTCGTTATCTTACACACCAATTAGTGGTAACGCTGATCCAGAAATATGCAACAAAGCAGCCATGTGATCAGCTTGCAGCCAGTCACGCGGGAGACAGCCGGGCCAGGGCAGTGGCCGCCGATGGCGGGCGCAAGCAGGGCCCAGATAAGGAATATATGACAGAACGGCCTTCATTCTGAGGCTTGGTTTTTAAAGGAGAATCTCCTGTTTTATGACTTGTGTCACTTTTGGGGACAGTTTCAAGCTTCCGACTTTGTTTCCGCCAAAAATGCTGCGACAAGTCATCTCTTGAGAAGCAGCCAGTGGAATGAAGGCGCATGAAAAATCTGTCGTATTGTGAGCCATCGATTCACTTTAAAAGCATCACCGGCCTATTTCCAGGCCGTATTTTGGTATCTACTCTGTGGAGGCGGATGCCCCCTCAATGACCTAGATTGCCTACCTGCTTGTGGAATTTCGCCTCCCCATGATAGACAGTATTGAAATCGAGGAATAGCTCTGGAGAGCTGAATATCCTTATTTGCCGAATGGCACATATGAGTCGAAAAGGCAAGATTGTGCACCAGTGAGAACTAGTTCTGGATGCATGTCTAGCGTAGCAGCCATGACATTTGAATCAAAAGCGATAACAAACTCCATCTCTACCCCCGCCCCCCTTGGTCAACAGGCTTGCTTTTCAGAAAAAGTCCCT